CAATTTGACAAAAAAAAAATTGCTACTGAGCAAGAACACATACAATAATAAAAACCTTGTTTTCATAAAAGTATTGTTTTTCTGACAACAGTTTCTGTATTGAGTAGGTGTAATGCCAATTGTCTCAAGATAAGTAATAAAAAAAAAATTGCATTGTCACATATTTTAAAGCCACGTCAGTAAAAGAAAAGACTCCACAGAAAACATTATCAGATAATATTCAACAATGTTTTCTATGTAATCTTGTTACAAGGTCACGTGTTTAACACCTTCCAGTAAGAGTACAAATTAGTTAAACATAAGTATATTCAGACAATTTGTTATTTTGTAGATACTTATATACTTTCTTTAGCCACAAAAGAAAACAAAACGTCATACTGATTTGTATTTCAGTTATCCTATAATAATTGTACGCGACGCTCCCTTCAATTGTTTTCACAACCGTCATGCCCTGCTAATATCTCATAAATAATGGACTATTGTTTTGATTGAGTGAAAAAAAGGGAAAAGACACTACTTGGTTTCAGTGACAAAATGAAAGAAAGAAAGTGGAGAGAGAGAGAGAGAGAGAGAGAAAATAAGATTAAGCTGATAAGAACTTTGATTTTGGCCAGTGGTGACTGACAAAAGTGAGATTTTTTAAATGCACAATATTGAATGACAGAAAATGAGTAAGTCAAACACAAAAAAATTAAAAAATTAAAAAGAAAAAAGTTACCATAAATAAACATAGTCTGCTGAATTATTTTTAAATTATTAAAAGAAATGTTCATAAGATGGGGATTCGGCTAATTCTAGGTTAATTTATCAAATATCCTGGAGTGAAAAAGAAACACAAATAGAAAGTTTTTTTTTTTATCTAAAACTAAACTGTTTACATCAAACAAAATAATTCTAGGGATATGGAACATTAGAACACTACAACAATGTGGCCCGTGAAAAAATGTAAAACAGGAAATGAATCGGTTAAATGTTAATATTTTAGGTGTACGCAAAACAAGGTGGGCAAACAATGGAGGTTTCATCAGTGACAAATAAAAGATCATATATGCAGGTGGAAAAGAAAAATGAAAGAGGAGTAAGGCTGATATTAGACTAAGACATGAAGCAATGTATTCTGGGATATAGTCAAGTATCTCAAAGAATTCTTGTCACTTAAACTGAAAGGAAAGCCTTTTGACATATCCATCATAGTTGTATATACACCGACAGCACAAAGTACAGAATAAGAAAATGAAAAGTTTTAGTGTACGAAGGCTCAATGCAAATTGCAAGAAATTGTCAAGGGAAACATAAATACTGAAGTATGCAGAAAGAGAGAAGAAAAAAGGTGAAGTAGGTGGAAAATTTGGACTAGGAACTTTTAATGAATACAGATAAAAATGGGTCCAATGGTGCATGATGAATGAGCAGGTAGTAGCCAACACCTAGGCTCAAGAACACCCAAAACTTATATGGACATGAAGAAGCCCAGGAAGAGAAATGATAAACCAAATCAACTGTATAACTATCAACAAGAGAATCAGCAATACTGTTTTACACTGCAACACATATCCAAGTGCTGACTGCAGGAGTGGCCACCTTCCAGTGATATGTAAACAGACTGAAACTATGAAAATTAAAGAAGCACCCAAATTGCAATATGACAGACTACTGAATGACTCAAAGGTGAAGGGGAAATATATGGACAGTGTTAAAATAGAATGGAAATGAAGTGAGACACATTAAGAGAAGTCTTAGCCATGTCAGCAATTGAGGGCAACCCAAAGAAAACCAGACACAAAAAAAAAAAAAAAAAAAAAAAAAATGATGACAGATGAAATTCTCGATGATGAAAAGAAGACAAAAAAAAACAAAAAAACAGCCAAGGTATGGCACAGAATATAGTAAACTACACAAAGAAATTAGGAACAAATACAGGCAAACTAAAGAGAAATGACTCAACAAAAATTGTACAGAAATAGAAAGATGAGTATCATAGATAAAGCAGAAATGGATAAAAATATAAGTGAACTAACAGGACAAAAGACATGCTCATCAAGAGGATGCATAAATTATAAGGACAGGACATTGATATTAGAGAAAGAAAAAATACTTCAGAAATAAAACTAATACATTAGAGAACTCTTTTAAGAATGAAAGAGGACAACTGGCAATACAAAGAAATATTGAAAGATGAAGAATATTAAAATCTGAAGTGGAATCAGCACTGGCCAAAGTGAACAGAAACAAAGCAGCAGAGCAAACGGAGATGCTGGCAGCCTTAAATGATGGAGACCTAAGTAAATTCATTTTCATAGTACCGTCTAAGTGTTAGGTGCAAACAAATATGAACTCCATTGGACAATCAGCATAATGAGACATAACAAAACTTACCACCAGAATTCTGATGAATAGAGTGTGCAGCAGAATCAGACTAGAAATAGGACAAGAACAGTAAGTTCATTAAAGACACTGAGACAAGGAATGTGATATGCTTAGACTGTCAAGAATTTTGAGGGGATAAACTTTGATACAGCAGCTGCCTGTCTCACAAAATTCTCCTTTATGCCGGGTAACAACTTGGTCAATTCACTGGTCACATGCAAACCCTGTTTATATCTAGGTTGAGAAGTCAGTGATTGCTTGAGGTGCAATCAAAAATTTGCATGATGTTCTCATATATAAACAAAAGTCATGTGCACACTTTTTCTTTTCTGATGTAGGTTACATGTGACATGCTGTCACATGGTTTGATGAGGTAAGTCACTATTTTCTTTGCTACAGAATGATATCAAAAAGAGCAATACAAATACAAAAGGAAGTGGACCTATATTTTATAGATTATGCAAAAGCGTTTGACAAAGTATACCACAAAGAACTATGGGAACTGCTAAGTAACCAAAACATATTTGGGAAGGATATTAGAATAATCCAGAACCTATACTAGCAGCAAACCATCTGTATACAAACAGAAAATGATTTCAGTAAATATATGAAAACAGAAAGGGGTATAAGACAAGGATGTGTCTTCCCACTGAACTTATGCAACCTATACAGTGAGGTGATTCTGAGGGAATTAGAAGTCCTACCAGGATTCATTATTGGTGACCACAATCTTAGCAGCGTAAAGACACAGAAAGGAAACTACAAGAACTGCTATAAAAGGTAGCAAAGGAAAGCAAGGAGAAAGGCCTAAACATCAATTGCAAGATAGAATGCATGGTTGTTAACAAAACAAACAGCCTAATATGCAAATTAAAAAAAGTACAAGTTAAATTATCTGGGAAGTGTCTTAACAGAGGAAGGGAGTATGACACTTAAATCTGAAGGTGCATTGGGGTAGCAAAAGATGCCTTTCAAGAGCTAAGCAAAGTATTAAGGAAAAAAAATTCCTTAGAAACAAAGAGTATTGAACTGTTACATAATACCAGTTCTCCTATGGCCATGAATGCTGGATAATCTCCTCACAGATGAAACTTGAATCAACAGAACTGTGATTCTACAGAAGGATGCTGAGAAGATCATGGACTGAACATACAAGCAATGACAAAGTTTTGGAAAAAATTGAAACAAAAAGGATATACTTAAAATCAAGAGAAGAATTGAAATTTCTAGGGCACATAATGAGAAAAGAGGGCTTGGGAAATTTGATACTCACAGGATAGATTGAAGGTAAGAGAAACAGAGGAAAGCAATATATAACCTAGCTAGTGAACTTGAATGGATAATGGAACAAGGTTTAGGAGAGATAACAAAAAAAAAAACCAAAATTTATTAAGAACTACAGAGTAGTGGAAATTGTGGAGAGCCATAATCGCCAAAGTCATGGAGGGACAAAGCACATCGAAAAAAAAAAAAAAAGAAAAAAAAAAGAAAGAAAGAATATGATAAACAGTTGTGATATTTTTAAATAACACGAATCATAATGATTAAAAAAAAAATAAAACAAAATAACTCGATAATAAAAAAAAAGTGACTGTCGTGCAGATTATTTGCATTTTTCAAATTAAATGTAACCCCCCGCCCCACTAAAAAAACAAAACTCCAAGCAAATGTAAAATTATTTTTTGTATAAAATAAATAATAGTAACAAAAATAAAAATCTTACATAACGAATATGACGAAAAAATTACCAAAATTTTGAGGTTCAATATTTGGTTGACGTATGATTTTTAGCATAAAAATGATCACTTTTTAAAAAAATTAAAAATGTTTTTATTGAAAAAAAGAAAAAAGTCTACAGTACACTCTCTAAAGAATTTTTTTTAATTACTTAAAAAGATTACTAAGAACTTTCATTCCTTATTTGTGTGGATCAGTTGCGACATAAAATCCTAACAAAAACAACAATAAAAACAAATTATCAATTTATGCTTATTTTCAAAATATCTTATTGCCAAAAATAAATTCGAGAAAGTCTGAGTTGAAATAGTTCGCTTTTTTTGTTTTTTTTTTTAAATAAAAAAAAAATTAAGCAATGAAAACTGAAAACATATCAGTATTTATTCCGTTGCAGTAATTTTATCCCAGCTAGAGGAAATCACAAGCAAATGAGGTAATTATTGGAGGTAATTAAATTACTTGATGTAACGGCAACAATATTCCAAGTGGCACTACTACGCTACGCCCTTTTCTTATTTTTAGCATTATTGACCGAAATAAAAGACTTAAGTTTGAAAATATCAAACCAGAGACACAAATGGAAATATTTAAAAATAAGTTTACTTAATATTAATTAAAAAATAAAAGATCACACGACTTTTGCAAGATGATTTTTTTTCCTCAAAAAATCTGCCATTTTATTTGATTTTTACGAGCCTTCAAATAAGTCTTTATGTGGACATTATTTTGTTTGACTAATAAACATTAACTCAACAAGTATACAAAATACAAGCTGTACAATAGGCATTTAATTCATTGATAATTTAAAATATGATAAACACTATTTTCAATAATCTCAAAGTTTTACTAGTTTTGACCTTTTTTAAATAATTTTCTCGGGCTGTGAGTGAACTTACCATCTTCAGCATCAGCAAAGCTAAGCAAGCTCGAGGTTTCCCGTTTTTTCTTGTGTTTGGTTTTGGGCTCGCTATCCCCGTTGTTAACCGGTTCTTTGATAATCTCTTCCTTTTTCTCTGCGTCATTATTTTCCTCATCAGAATCACTGGTTGCTACCTTTCTCCTGAAATTTCGGCGAGGTTTCTTGAAAGTAGTAGCCATCTTTCAACCTTCAGCGACTAGCATGCTGGGATAGTTTTCAAATACGAAACTACATAATACAAATTTGAAATAAAAATAAGGTAATCATGATAAACATTTTGACGAAAAGTATTATTTAAATTGTTCAAGTAATTTTAATAGTTTTAACCAGGCATTAAAATCAACATTCTTAATTTATGTGCAATACACTACTATTTGTACTACAACTGCTACTTTCGAAATCTGAAATACTACTTCCTGTTCGGTAGCGTAAAAACACCAGACCGGGTAAACAATAAAATAGCAGTAACACTTCAGTTTGCTATGATATGTTTATGATTTGTTGTCACAAAAGTATTATTTATTTTTACATTTTAATACTACGTTTTGATTTTCTATTTGCAACATATTTTTTATTATTACTTCGATTGTTAGCTTATGATAATTTTATAAATATTAATTTTTGTTTATGGAGAAAAAATGCTGTGTAAAAAAGTGTAAAAATAAAACAAGCAATCAGTTATTTTTTTTTAAATTATTATTGCCTGCGATATTAAATTAAATGTTTACTTAAATTCGTTTTAGAGAAAGGTTTTTGCGTGGTCAAATGTTGAAATATGGTTTAAAATTTTTAAAATTATTGTTATTGAAAGTAACTTTGTAAACAAAATTTTGAGCAACCGGTGTATGATGACTTTATTACCCTGTTTATCGATGGTCGAATTTAAGTTGTCATTATTAATATTGGTGGGGAACATGAAAATTACTGATCAGCCTGTTAACGGCCACTGCATAGAAGCCAGACAACTTTTATTTTTTTTTTCGTTTATTCATATTTTATTTTATTCTAATTACACGAAGATAAGGAGTATCTTATTTTATTCTTATCACTCTTATCTAGGTAACTACCCCCACAATAAAAAAATGCTATTGGGCTCGTCTATTAGCCCAATCTTACCTTCTTCGAGTAATGCACTATTCCAACTTTCATTCGTAAATCTAGCCCTCTTTTTGGTTCATTTCTACCAATCAGGTCGCCCGCACGTGCACTTGGCGCAAAATCATTTTGGAGCCACCCACGTGACCATGACCTCTTAAAAAAAAAAAACAAAGCATGTGTGACAAGCAGATGCAGACCTAGGCAGATGCAGACCTGGGCAGTTCAGCAGCAGACCATTTTTTCGAGCGCTCACTCAAGCTTAAAAATGGGACGACTACTACTCCCGTCTCGACGAATCGAGACAACAATTCTTTCACGTTCAATATCTTCTATGAACTTCTTCGTCATTCAAGAATCTCAAACTATACATTCTCTTTGATCATCTACGATAAGTCAGTCAGTCTAGCAAACACAGAAAAGCGCTAATCTAATCCACGTAACTTGCGATTATAATTTTCCCGCGCAAAAAAAAAAAAAAACCCCACAACTGACTCACCCACAAACTCGACTCGAAGATTACTCTGTGAATACAAAGAACTTCAACTCGCAAGACTTTACTTATCCAAAGTGAATTATTAACGCCCACTACAATTTAAGTAAATACTATTATTGAACATATTTCATACTTACAGTTAAGGGTAGACTACTTCTGAATGACTCAATTCTAAATATGTCCAGGATAATGTCCTGCAATATTTGACTATGGTTGGCCTACTGCTGTTGCTTAGGAGTTGGGAGGGATCACATTATACAAATATATGAAGAAAAAAAAATCATGTGGCTTATAAAAAAAACAACAATTAAGGAAAAGGCAGTTGGAGAAAGATTTTTGAAAAAGCAGATACACTACATGACTACACTCATCACTGAAGTCCAGACTATATATTAGAATATTTTCTTAACACAACAACAGTCTATATTTCTTCATTCAATGCAAACGATGAAGACACACTCAAAATGTCACAAAGTGAGTTACACCACACACACTTTTTTCGTAAAATTTTAAATCGTTTATTTTACATACAAATGACACTACATTTAACAGAAATTCTCCAAACTCACACATTTTACACTATAATTGGCAGTTCATCAACAAGAACACTTTCTCACTCAAAAGTCTTATGGAATTAACATTAATTCCATTTATAATTTTACGCGCGCGCGAGTTTCCTCCCTTTGTTTTACACTCGTGCATGTGTGCGCGCGTGTTTTCACACCTACCTTTCACTCACAGCTAAAACATAGCAGTAACCTACTTTGAGCTCCTACTGATTTGGACTCATAACAGATTTTGAATTTTCCCGCGCGTTTCGCGGCGTTTCAAACGGCCAGCGTTTGCAATCCAGTTGCCTCTTAGCTATCGACCGGACTGGATGGGCAACTCATTTATTCCGTGCCCTTAACCCATATGCGGGCCGGAATATCTTATTTCAACAATGTCGACTGCACCCTCTACCAAGACTTTTTCTCCTTTTGAAGCTGCCAACAGGTCGGACCTTTTTCTCCGTTTTCTACTAGAAGACGTTTTAGAGATACGCGACACTGTCGCGAGCAAAAGTTCGTATGCAACTAATGGCGAATTTTTATCCCTCGACAGGGGCCTAATAAGTATAGGCAGGGAGGTCCTACTGAACGAACAAATTGCTAATCACAGGTCAGGACCTTTTTACTCCGTTTTCTACCAGAAGACGTTTTTAGAGACACACGACACTGTCGTCGGCAGAAACTTCGTGTTCAACAGGTGACTTAAACTTACCCCTGGCTTCGAACCAAATAATACAGGCAGGGATAGTATTACCTGTGAAAAAAAAAACATTTTTCGTCTTTCTCTTTGGGCTCGGGCCAGAAACCATTCTACAAGACCATGCTTCGTTTCTCCCGGCTAGATGCCCCCAGCAGTCCAGAACATTTACCAGCGGCCAATTCAATATTACCTTTGAACAAAACATTTTTCGTCTCTCTCTTTGGGCTCGGCCAGAATCATTCTACAAGACCATGCTTAGTTTCTATCGGCTAGATGCCCCACACAGCAGTCCAGAACATTTACCAGCGGTCAATTCAATATTTACCGAACATTCTTTATAACTTTGAACCTGTATTAAAAAATATGCATAATCACTTACAACTTAAAATATCCACAGTGAGTACTCCTTTCTATCTGTGCGCACATTCTTTTTCCGGAACTGTATAAAACTTTCTTTTCCCGCCTTTGGCCATCTTGTATTTCTATTTTGGCGCGGAACATTTTTCATTGATCCCGACCTTGGGATGAGTTACGTGTTACTGTTTGATTAAAGTTTACTCATGTTTTTATAAACAGATGTCTTTGGCATTTTATTCCGCTATCATAATATATTTTATTTTATGCACTTGTTGATTGACCCCTTTCCTCTCACTGTTCATTCACGCATATATTTATTATTTTTTTTTACTTTGCTTGTAGACTCGGTGGTTTAGTGTGGTGTCTGGCACAAGGCCACTTAGTAATAAACCAGCACTGCACGCTGCCGGGTCTGCAACAGTCTAAAAGAACAAGTAAATTTCAGCATTTTAAACACATTCAGAAATCCTGTTTTGTACATTTTGTTATATATAAATTCTATTTACTTGTACAACTTCTCTTGTTGAATTTCCTTTGTTTCTTCTTGTTTCATATTTTGTGTCAATTCTGTTTAATATAAATTAATGAGGGTATCTGACTGCAACAACTTAACTGCGACAAATTAATAAGGAATTATAAAAGATTTAAAGCATTGTCCATATAGTTAAATTTCTGTACTTGCTTAATTTGACATTTTCCAATTTGTAGCTCACTATGCCAGGCAAACTTTTTTTGATTTAATTGAAATGAATCATAATAATAGGACACTTAATGAAGATCAACGAACTGCACTAAAACATTGTGTGCAGTAATAGTTTGCACATTATTATAAGAATTTGAAAAGGATAGTAAAGGGAGCTAACTCTTTACTATTCAAAGATCAACATTGAACATGAAATCCTTACTAATCCGGGACTCTGATTGGCTAACTACTGTCCAATCAGGATCCCTTCTTGGGGACATGTGGTAAACTTAATCCCGATGTTCTTCTTCAATTGAAACTAACGGCCATAGCAACCATGTATTTATTGGAGCCATCCTTTCTGATGTTAATGGAGTACAGAAGCTACAAGACTGCAAATCCCATTTGTTTCTTGGTCACTCTTCTAACATTTAAGTCTGCAAATATGAATTATACTTGCAAGACTTTTTTTCTACCCATGCATACACCTCTCTGTACATTAAACCTGTTGAATTTAATACTGCCTTTGAGTTACTTCTCTTCTTTAATTGTGTCCATCTTTGTCTTTGACTTTGTGGAATTAACTGTAAATGAAGAAAATCTTTACACTGTTACTGTTTAATAACTCTCCTTTCATTTAACCTGGTACAGTCATTAAGCATCCAGTTAGGATTGAACTCAATACCCAGTCAATAGTATGCTCTACTAGCTTGTCAGTAACAACTAGTAGTGTTTTCTATTAATATTTCCTAATGTATTTTGGTGGGATGGTTACTAAGTTTTAATTGAGCCTGTGTTTTTTAAGTGGAAGAAGGTAGCTAGCTCTTGTGTGCTTGGCATATATCCACTAAGTTTGAGAAACAGGACTTGATGAATTGAAACTTTCGGATATTTGTAGTTAAATGGCAAATATATAGAAAATTCTGAATTTAAAATGCCACTGCCTTGCAGTCATACCCAATCATGGGAAAGACTTCAAAAGTAAACCCAGAGGACAAATGCGACATCCATGTAGTCATATAAATCTCCTGATTTGAATCTGTTGGCACTATGTCATGGTAGTTGAAATTAATATCAACTCAAGCCCCAGGGGTCCATCCCTCCAGACAGTACCTCTCCATTGAGAGGATGCTGGGGTCATTACCCAGTGCCTGAGGTGTCCCCAAAAGGGTAAGTGTTGAGGGGGCTTGAGCAATTTTTGTATGGTGTTTCCTGAAATTCCACATTAAACTCCAACCTTGTGTCATATACTTTTGTGACATGGGCATGTGGATAGATACTTAACTAGAATATCTTGA